AAAGAAAGAAAGAAAGAAAGAAAGAAAGAAAGAAAGAAAGAAAGAAAGAAAGAAAGAAAAACAAATTTGAAAATTTTGGTAGCTTCTTATCCAGTGTGAATATTAATCCCTGCCCCTTCTGATATAGGGGGAAAAACATAACTCCCAACCAGCTAGTTTGTGTTCCCTGAAATTAAAAAGTGAATTTTAAGGAACAGTGGAGGCTAAGAGTAAGAAAATTTATTGAGAGAGATAGCTCCTGAGAGACAGGAGGGGACCCAAAAGTGGGTTACCACAGGGCCCACTTTTCTGAGAGTTACAGAGCAAAATCAAGAGGTGGGTACAACTTGGGTCAAATTATAATCAACCAGTAAGATTACAACTATAACTGCTTACCTAATATTGATCCAAGGGGTAGCAAGGAGGTATGGATGACATCATTAACCTTGGTTGATAATCTGTAGTTTCAGTTTTGTCTTTTAGTCTTAGTCTTAGTCTTAGTAGGTGGGAGGAGATGGTGCACTGAGATAATAGTTTATTTATATGGGAAATCTCAAAAGGGTGGTACCAGTAATCTCAAGCCTTATTAGTTATGTCTGTTTGTCACCTCTTCAGGATTATGAATGCCTTGAAGGCAAGGACTGCTTTCACATGTGATTATCAGTTCACACAAATACTTCCTGAATTCTGGAGTGCCAGTGCCTTCTCACTATAAATTCCTTTTAGTTAGAGTTTTTGTTTTTCTTTTGGGAAGAATGAGAATAGATTGGTTTGAGTAGAGATTGATTATCACAATCCTATTGGTTTAGGTTACTAGTTTTTTTCCTTCACTGTAGATGAGGATTGTACGCTATATAATCTGTGTTCTTTTAAGTCTTAATTGCTTAATGGCTTCCTTGGTTAAGTTACTCTTATTTATAAGTTTTGTTTTTAAGTAAGAAATTCAGTAATTTCCCCATAGTAGGTACTTTAAAGAAGAGATATCATGTTTACTAGAAAGATTAAATGTTGTAAAAATTTGTAAGAGGTCACTGAGAAGTGATGTTAAATGGTACTCTGGGTGGAGCTGAGAGAATCTTACAGGTACTCACTGTCAAATTCTCATATATAAAGAAAAAAGAAATTTGACCTGGATGCTTGGAACAGGAATTTTGTTCTTCATTTGGTTTGGGGAGGGGTAGAGCTCACTCTACAGAAGGAAATGTAATCCTGACATTACCTGGATCTACAGTGTTTTTGTATTTACATTACTATAATAATTAAATGAATATTGATTATTTAAAATCAGTCTAGATAATCATCGAAGGCATATTTGCAAAACAATGAAGTGTTATATTCTGATCTGAAGAAACATGATCCAGATTCTGAGGGAAAAATGTGAAATTATTAATTTTGATGCCAAGGAGTGGTATTTAAATTAATGTGTCTTAGATTAAAGGAGACCAAAGATAGGATAAATGGATCCAATATGTGATTGTGGGACAGATCATTTAGTAGAAGGAAGGGGTCGCTATGAAGGGTATGGTTTGATCTGTTGACAGAAGTAAACGATAGGTGGTAGATTAGAATATCATTAATGTTAAATTTCCTGAATTTTTAAACTGAAGCTGTGATAAGAGATTATCTTTGTGTGTGTGCGAGCACATACATGCATGCACACATGCACAAAAAGACAGTGTCAGAAACTGTCTTACCCAGATTCTTTGTTTATAATGAACTGTTTCATTTAATGAACTAAAATTTCATATAGAACCATATGCTGTTATTTATATCTAATCTGCCCACAGAGCCATTGGTTTATATCTCTAATTTCTTTTTCTTTTTCCTCTTACCTTTTCCTTTTCTCTTCCCCTTTTCTTTCTTTCTTTCTTTCTTTCTTTCTTTCTTTCTTTCTTTCTTTCTTTTTTTTGTATTACTGGGGATTGGACCTAGGGATGCTATATGACTGAGCTACTTTCCACCTCATCTTGTAAATTTTGAGACAGAGTCATGCTGTGTTGCCCAGACTGACCTGGAACTTGCTACCCCTTCAGCCTCACTTCCTGCATAGCTTGGATTATAGGTGTGTACCTTTACTCCTAGTTACCTGAGTGTTTTTTCTTGAGGTTATTTTTTTCACACTGGGTTTCCAGTTAATAAAAAACATTTTGTATAAGTTACATTGAGCTTTTTTATTATTTTTTATTATTACTATTACTATTACTACTACTGCTACTACTGCTACTACTGCTACTACTACTACTACTATTTGGGGGATGGTGTTCAGATAGGATCTTGCTGTGTAGTCAAGGCTGGTTTTAGACTCACTATGGAGTCCAGGCTAGCCTAGAATTAATGGCAATCCTCCTACCTCAGCCTCCCAGGAGCTGGGATTATAGCCGTGTATCATCACGCCCAGCCTTGAGTTTCTTTTTTAAAAACTTTCTTACAGAAAAGTTGGTTTTTTCTAATTACAAGTGTAAATGTTTTTTTTTTTTTTGTTTTTCTTCGGTTCCGGGAACCGAACTCACGACCTTGCGCTTGCCAGGCAGGCGCTTTTGCCGCTGAGCTAAATCCCCAGCCCAAGTGTAAATGTTCTAAAGGTATGAAAGTGGAAGTCCTTATTCCCTTTGACTTTGTTGACAGTCATTGTTTCGTTTTTCTGTACACATAAAATCATGTTTCCTAATTAATGCAATAATGCTTACACATATTTTTATCTTAAATTACAGAAAATTTAAACTTCTACCAAAATGATAACTGTGTTGATGATTTACGTTTTTTACACTTATGATAATTGAACGCAGGTCCTTGAGCTGGCTGGATAAGTCTTCTACCACTGAGCTTACATTCCCTAGCCACTTAAAAATTTTTATTTTGAGATAGGGCCAGCTGAGTTGTCAAGGCTAGTCTTGAACTTTTGATCTTCCTGCTGGAGCCTGTTGAGTATGTAGGATTAATAGGTGGATATTCTGTGAGATTGTTTTTTTTCTTTTTTGAGACAAGGTCTCACTGTGTAGTGCAGGATGGCCTTGAACTTGCTTATGTAACCCAGGCTGGCCGCAAACTCATGGCAGTCCTCCTGCCTCAGCCTCCTGAGTGCTGGGGTTATAGGCATGTATCCCCACACCTGGCTCCTGTCAATTGTTTTTGTAAATAGAGGAATATATATGTGTAGTTTGGGGCAATAATTACCATTGTGCTCTCTCATCCTCCCAAAGTATATATCCTTTCATCTAGTAAATTCTAGAAAATTCTTTTTTTTTTTTTTTTTTTTGGTCTTTTTGAGATAGGATTTTGCTATGTCATTTAGGCTGGCCTTGAACTCACTTTGTAGCCCAAACTGGCCTTGAACTCTCAGTGATCCTCCTGCCTCAGCCTCCTGAGTGTTGGGATTACAGGTGTGTGCCACAATAGTCAGCCTTAGTAAATTCATTTTTAAAAATCAGGGCTGCAGAAATAGTGACTTGGATAGGCATATGGGTAGGGAATGTTTTTATGGCTTTGTTATGGAAACAATATAAATATCCTACTATTTGACATAATTTTGATATATTGGGATATAATGGAATACTGAACTGCCACCCCAAAATATATACTGTACTAACACAATGGATTTGGTATATTAGTGGAAGAAAATGAGTTAGAGTACAATAAATACAGTATGAACCTCTCGTTCCCTATTTTTTGTGCATTTTAGTAGTTAATGTGCATTTTTATATATTCCTAGAGAAATGACTGGATACAAGCAAGACCTAGTTAATTGTAGTTGTTGTAGGTGAACCAAGGGACAGAGAGGAGAACATTTATTTTAAAAATAATTATTGAAATATAACTCACATATTGCACGGTTCACCCGTTTAAAGCGTATGTTTCAGTGGCTCAATGTTTTCAAAGAATTGTGCAGTTATCACCAGGGTTGACTTTAAGACATTTTCATTGCCTGAAAAAGAAACTCCATACCCCTTAGCTATCATCCCGTGTTGCCCTCCATCTCTCCTAGCCTTAAGCAACCACTCATCTACTTTCTATTTCTATATGATTTTCTTGTCCTGAACAGTTTATATATGGTATTTTATGTCTGGCTTCTTTTACTCAGTTTAAGATTTATCTATATTGAAGTATTTATCTGTTTCATTCCTTTTAATGACTGAATATCACCACATTTATTACCATATCATTTTTTACTTACATTTTTTAGGTCAGAGTCTCACTATGTAGTCCAGCTGGCCTTGAACTCACTGTGTACCTCAAACTGTTCTCAAACTTGTGTTACTCCTCCCGCCTCAGCCTCCTGAGTGCTAGGATTACAGGTGTGAGCCACTATGCCCAGCCACTGCTTTGGATAATTTTTGACTGAAGCGTAATGCACTGTTTTCTATTTGGTGTAGAAATAGAAGATAAATTGTTTCTATATAAAAGCCATTTAAGACTTACCATGCTAAGTGGCAGATACTTGTTCTGATATTTATGTACTTTTTAAAAAATTAGACTTGACTGAAAAGATAGCTTATGTGTATATATGACAGCTGATCAAGAGTTTATCATTGGAATTTGATTTCTAGCTCACTGTTACTGCATGAGTACATTTCAGTTGGGACATCTAACTCTGTGATGCCTGTGCAAGTTCTGATTTTTTTCTGGAAAATTACTAAAAAGACTACATGTGTCCTGATATTTATTGTATGAATACTGCTTATAAGATGGCTAAAATGTTGATTCTTTAAATTCTCCAATAATTTAAGAAAATATATTTTAATAGACATGTCATAATTGTACCTATTTATGGGGTAGAGTGTACAGTACATGTGTACAGTAAGTAATGATTATATCAAGGGAATGGCATAGTTGTTGGCTCAGACATCATTTCTTTGTGTTAGGAACATTCAAAATCTTCTGGCTGTAATTAATCGTCATTAACTATAGTTGCCCTATTATGCTATAGAACATCAGAAGTGATTCCTTCAATCCAACTGTACCCTCCTCCCCCATACCACACCTCCCTCGCCACTTCCTCTTCTGACACCTTTCCCAGGCTCTGGTAACCACTATTCTTTACTTTTTTTAAGTCAACCTTTTGGCTTCCCTGTATGAGTGAAAACATGTAGTATTTGTCCTTGTTTCTCACTTACTCGCTTACCAGTGCCCTCCAGTTACATCCATGTTTCTGTAAGTGACAGAATTTCATTCTTATTTATGGTTGAATGATATTCCATTGTGTTTATACACTCTCCCCCATTCATTGACGGGGCACCCATGTTGATTCTGTATCTGGCCTATTATGAATAGTGATTCAGTAAGTGTGGGAGTATGGATATATCTTTATATTAAACTTACATTCTTTTGGATGTATAGTCTGAATAGTGGGATGCTGGGTCATGTATTTAACTGGGGTTTTTAGGTAGAACTGTAGTGGTTTTAAGACAAACTTTTCATGTGAAAATTTCAGATATAGAGAAAATTATTTAATAAATTACCTCCACTTACCTCACAGTCTTCAAAAGTTGCCAACTTATTGCCCATCTTGTTTCCTAATGCACTCCTCATTTCACCTACTCTTTGTTATATCACTTCACGTGTATGTATGTCAATGTTTGTTTAAAAAACCTTTTAATAAGAACTATAGCCACACATAAAAAACCCTTTACCACAATAACACTATCAATTATATAAAGCATTAATAGTAGTTAATATCATCAATTATGTGATATCAGATTTCTCACAGTTCTAGGGATTGAACATAGGCTCTTTACACTGTGTTACATCTCCAGTCTTTTTTCATACTGTATTTGGAGACAACGTCTCGCTTAGTCACCAGGTTGTCCAGGCTGAGTTTGAACTTTTCATCCTCCTGCCTCAGTCTCCCAGAGTGCTAGAATTACAAGTATGCACCACCGTGTCTGGTGTTAATTTATTTTTGTATTTTGTTTGGCTTATGACCTAAATATGTAAAACCCACATATTGTAGTTGGTTGAAATGGTCACATATCTCTTTTAATCTGTAGGTTTCCCTTCTATCTCCTTTGTCTTGCAGTTTACTTAAAGAATTGGGGTTATCTTTCTGTAGAGCAATCATTATTTGTATTCTTTATTTCATTAGTAGTTATAAAATAGTGGTGTTTTGTCTGTCTTCATTTATTAGGTAGAATACATCTGTCATAACCATTTGATGCTGCACAGTTGAATTTGTATATGAAAGGCAGGGTAAATACTTCCTTCTCCTTAGCCAGTTTTCAATTGCCAGAGGTTGATTCCCTAGCATTTTCCAGTCATGGTGGTGGTGTGTGCACAGGCAGGCAGGTGTGCACATGTGCACGTGCACACACACGCACACACCCTGTGTTTCATTATGAACTCTTATTTATATATATTAAAATCTGAATCCATTGTACCTAATTGCTTTTGCTCAAATTACTCCATTTCTGGCTAGTGAATCTCTTTTAAGTTGGCTCTTTAGTGTTTTTTTTAACAAGTCCTTGGTAGTTTGAAACAATTTGTACAGTTTTTGTTCTAGACCCGAAATTGGTTATTTTGTCCTTGGGAACCCTAGCTTCTTTCGAAGTGGCAGTTAGTCTTTGAAGATTATAGTTTATGTGCTTAGAATGCACACTGCTGCTGGGTTGATCCCATACTTTTTTGCAACACTGAGACTATTCTTAGTATTTCATAAGGAGATTGATTGTGTTTGCACTTTTGACCCACGTTTTAAAAATCGAGTTGTAACTCAGGTAACGTAAAATGCAGTATTATAAATAATACAGTTCAGGACCAGGGATATAGCTCAGGAGTACAAGTCCTGAGTTTGATTCCCAGTACCAAAAAAAAAAAAAAGAAAATACAGTTCAGTGGCCCTTAGTGTACTTGTTTTGGTGTACAAACATCACCATTGTCTAATTTCAGGACATTTCTATCACACCCTATAAAGATCCCCTGTACAGTACCACTAATAGTCCCTATTTTTTTCTCAACCCAGCCCATGTCAACCTTTGATCTATTTTCTGTCTCTGGATTTACTTATTCTAGATAGTTCATGTAAATGGAATTAACAGTTTGTGGCCTTTTTTTGGTCCCAGGTTCATTCACTTAGCATAATGCATTCATCCATATTGTGTCATAATCAATGTTTCTTCTTTATTGCTGAATATTTATGTATATACATTTAGGTTATTCATTCATAAATTAATGTACATTGGGATTATTTCTACTTTTTGGGTGTAAAGAATAATGTTCCTGTGAACATTTGTGAATAAGTTTTTGGACATATTTTTATTTTGTTGGCTTATATTCCCTTCAAAAAGGGAACTGATTGGATATGTTGTGACTTTTGGGGGTGGGGTTACTAGGGATTGAACTCAGGGTGCTGTACCTCTGAGCTGTACTCTCCAGCAAACACCCCCCCACTTTGAGACAAGGTCTTGCTATGTAATTCAGGCTTTAAACTCACTTTGTGGCCCAACCCAGCCTCAAATTCTCACAGTCCTCTTGCTTCACCCTCTTGAATTCTGGGATTACAGGTGTGTGCCGCCCTGCCTAGCATCTCTTACCCTTTTTATTTTGAAGGTGGCCTGGAGTTTATAATCCTCCTGCTCTAGCCTGAGTAGCTTGTATTACAAGTGTGTGACACTGTACCTAGCTACAGGTGGTGACTTTGTAACATTTTAAGGAACTACTAACGTGTCACAGAAGTTTCATTAAACAAAAGTTTGTTTTTCACATTCTACCTACATTTTTGACGTTTGTTACTGTGATTACATTTTGAATTATCTAAGAAAATTTTTGCAAAGTATACCAAATTTTCTTTGGTTTAAGTTGTTTCAGATACAGCAGTTTGGGCTGGGTTTGTGTAGTAGTTCAGTGGTAGAGTGCTTATTGTGTATGAGGCCCTGGGTTCAATTCCCAGTACTCTCCTCACAAGAAAGAGAAAAGTTTGTGTATATGATACTGTCATTAGTAATTTTACTCTAAGACACAACTTTTTTGCATAATGTTAGTATAGTTTTTTTTTAAAGTTCAATAGATGTTTCTAATTTTAAGTTTCTTTATAATAACCACTTCTCATAAGTTCATACTCTGAAATTATTTCTTTGCCCATCTTTTTAATTAATATCAGTAGTTTCCCCCTTTATGCCATCCTGTCTAAAATGACACTTTTTACTTCCTATCTCTTGCCCCTATTTTATTTTCTTTACAATACCAACTTCCTGGGGCTGGGGATTTAGCTCAGCGGCAAAAGCG